AACTTGTATGATAAAATGGAAAATATAGGGATGAAAGATGAAGTAAAAAAATAAATAATTAAACGTAATAAGTGAAAACATCCAAGTGATTGCAATAAAGTAATATACAACAAAAAGACACTGAAGAAGCATTTGGAAAAATGAAAAAAAAAAAAAAAAAAAAAAGGACCCGATAGGGAGGAAAACAAACACAAAGCAAATGAATGAAACATGGGCAATTTTTTTTCTTTTAAATTTGAAGAGGAATTAAAATTTAATAGAAACAGAAAAAAAATATAAGAGAAATCAAAAAAGTTCTCCCTGACAGTTTATTCAAAAAAAAAAAAAAAAAAAAAAAAAAAAAAAAAAAAACATATAGAAAATGTTTTTTGCCATCAATATATAAAGCTTAACTAACAATGTCAACATTTTAAATTAAAATTTATGTAATAAAAAAAATATATAAATATTTTCTGTGTTTAATATGAGAGAATTGTTTTGGATAAAAAAAAAAAAAATATATATATATATATATATATATATATATATATATATATATATAAATTCTTACTATGACCAAAAGTATCAAATCTGCAGCTAATGAATATTTAAAGACAATAAATGTCAATGAAAGTGACTTGATATGACTGTGTTTACCAAACTGATGTATAGTGACATTTTAATTTTGCAACAAATTATGTAGCATGACTAAATGTATTACTTAGAATGATTATTGTCTTAGTTGGTAATATAAGTGATGGGTGACTATAAAACTTAGAACGATTACTTCATTACTTATATAAATGTAAAAAAAAAAAAAACAAACAAAAAAAAAAACATCTTAGTTGGCAATAATATAAGTGAGAGATGGCTAAGGAAAGGTACTATTATTTATGGCTAATTTGTTTAAATAATGCAATGACTAGTGTTTGCGTCATGTGAAAATAATTGTAAAATGATGCAAAGAAAAAAAATAAGTAAGAAAGTAATCATTTTAAGTTTTCTCTTTATTAAGCTATTAATTAAATTTTTTATTGAATTATTTTTTTTTTATATGCATTTTGAATTAGATATTTAGCTTGATCATCAAAACTAATGTGCTACAAAAAGATTATTTTTTAAAAAAGTCTGCTGTCAATACAGAAAAGTTAGAATGTCTTCACTAATCTGTTAACTGTTAAGAAAACTAAGTTGCCATTTCTAAACGTGGCAAGAACTTTCATTTTTGGAAATAAATGAAATGTCTCTTTATAATTTTTTTTTTTTCTTCTAACTCAAATATGAATTTAACTAGTGTTAAAAAAAAAATAAAAAAGACATCAAGGAAAATAGTTTTGAAGGAAACAAAAAAAAAAAAGCAATATTAATAAATCATTTTTTAATGATTTTTTTAAAACTTATTTATCATAAATGATTTTAACCTAAGGCAATACCTCTATAATTAGTATGTCGGGGATATTGTCACAGCATTTGTTCCAAGAGGTTTTTCAAATTCTCCATTTAAAATATCATTCAGGTTTTAATTTTCTTGTTATATATTGTCTTGAGATGGGGTGGTGTAAGGTTTTGTACCCTCACTGAATCTGATACCTCCCCACAAATTATGATATAGGGCCCCTATTCAACTCCATCTCACTTCATCTTCTATGTAGCAGTTCTGCAATCTTAAGTGATAAAAAAAAAATTACATTTTTTTTTGCATTTATTATGCACAGCTCCAAGGGGTCATCCCCATAGGAAATACCCCTCACCATAGCACTAATGGGAGGTCAATCAGATTCAGTCCCTGATGTCTGAGGTATCCCAAAAGGGAAATGGAAAGAGAGTTGAATACCTTGTTAATAATTTCATTCACACTTTAAATGCAGCCTTATGCCACATTCCACTTGGGTGACCATATGCATGGAGAGTGTAATGGTTAACTGATCGGAAAAAGAAATTGTCACACTAAGTTCAAATTCCGGTAGAATTTGTTATATTCACTTTCATGCAAATATCCATCTCTTCTCCACACCAGCTATAAAAGTTAAATAATAGCGTAGACTGGGTTTGTCAGCCTTAGCTGGTAACCACTCTAGAAGGAAACATGAATTTAAAATCAATTGGACACAAGACCAGCAACTCCACCCATAAAAAACTCCAAACTTACTTGCTATGAAAATTGCAGCAGCAACATCTAGTATACAGAAGCTGCAGAACCATTCTCAATAGACTTCAAGAAATGCATTTATGTGCTAATGTTGATGACTGTTAAAAAGTAGCAATAGCAGCGTTGGTGATGTATGTGCACTTTTATTTGCAAACTAATATATTGGATTAGTAAAAGTGTCTTCTGTCCTATCTAAACACTGATTGGTTATTTTTAAGCAGTAGCATGCAGAAGTAGGAGCAGACAGTCCCGAGCAACAATATTGGGAGAACATCCTATCAAAGAGCGAAATAAAAAAATTAGTCCATATTTAATTTGAATAAAGTTTATTTTTTTGTTTCAGGTTTCATTTGTTTTTACATATTTAAAATATCTTCTTTTCTCAGTACTAGGTCCTATAGGCACCCCCTGCTTAAATCTTAGGGTCATACAATCAAGGAGTTGGCCCTGGGCATCACCAAACATCTGAACATCACTGATCTTAAGTAATCCGAAGAAAAAGTTAAAAAACATTACAAAAAAGGTAAATATGTAGAATAAATTGAAATTTATTCTTTGGGTAAATGTCATATGTAATGCTATCAAAGAAAAAGTCCAAATATAAATAGTGTAAATAATGATAAATTCGGATCCCAGAAATTCAGTCAGAAGACATTCAGGTGATAAAAACAAAGATGAGGACAATAGTCCTAATATAAATAGTGTAAATAATGATAACTCCTAATCCCAGAAATTCAGACAGAAGTTAATCAGGTGATAATAACAACAAAGATGAGGACAATAGTCTGAATATAAATAGCGTAAATAATAACTTCTCATCCCAGAAATTCAGACAGGAAAACTGATTCCATCAATAAAACCTTGGAATTAAATATATCATTTATGTGTTATTTTTTCCTGTTATTTTGTCATTCACTTAAACAAAAAATATGGTGATCATTTACAATATGAAATTGCCATTTACCAGGCAGTGTTGTTTTCTATGTTCTAATATATACAAATTCTAGTTCTCCAATGTTAAGCAACCTTCCCTTATAAATATAGCAAATTTTAAACACACACACACACACATTTATTATATATATAACATAGAAGAAAAATCCAAAGTTACCTCATTCTAATAGCTATTTTGACCCACAAGACTTACTTGTAAGCCTTGTCAACTCAGAAGAAAAAAAATTCACTTGGATTATTTGTAAACGGATTATTATCTCTCTCTCTCTCTCTATATATATATATATATATATATATAAAATAAATCGAGAAAAGTTCAAGGGACATATTGGGTTAGGAGACTGAAGATTGGTTTGGCTGATTTTGTTTAGCAGCATATCAACACCTCTATGGGTTATTTTATGCTGAAATCAAAATATTTTGATGACAATTTTATAGCTCGAATTAAATGTATTTTGAATGCCATGAATTTAACTACAGATTTTTTGTAATTAATTTTATACTTTCAGGATAAATATATTTTATAGATACATAGTTTATACATGATTTGTTATAGGTGCTATATATTTTGGTATAAACCTATTACTTTAAGGTGGGACATTATGTTGATGGATTGTTTTGGAATAAAACGGATTTTCAAATAGTTTTCAAATGTTGGTTTCCTTGTAGTATTTATGTCTTATAGGTGCAAAGTGATTACATTTGGTTAAAATGTGTTTCACTGTGAATGCAGCTTGGCATGTTGTACACGTTGGTTGATCTTCATTCTTCAGCAAGCATTGCAGATTGAAATGGTTTGCATTGAAACACACATCGGGGCCAGACGTTTGATAAATCAAATAGTTTTGCAGTGTTCTCTAATTCAAAATTTTAAAACTTAACGTTATCTTATTCATCGGCTCCCCTCCACATTACTTTTGTGAAATAAATATAGGTTACTAAATAAAATTCCAACACTTATCTTGATGAACTTCCTCAAGGAATCAAAATTAGACATAAAATATTTCCTCAACTTTTATTTATATATAAATGAACAGACACAGGCAGAGACACACAAATGACTGTCATTCCAGAGGTAATGACATCTGTTATGCTGACTCAGGACAGCAGAGGTCAATAGCCTTATTGGCATGACAGCAGAGGTCAATAGCCTTATTGGCATGACAGCAGAGGTCAATAGCCTTATTGGCATGACAGCAGAGGTCAATAGCCTTATTGGCATGACAGCAGAGTTTAAACCTTCCAGCCAGTAAACCATCCTTTTTTTCTACAGAGAGCAGGCAAGTAAAATGGCATCCAGCATGAAATTGCATACAAAATAAAACCCGTTTCATTAAACTGCACTCATTAGTTAATTTACAGAGACCAAACAGTGGATATGAGTCCAGTTAGGCAGTAGGTTACTTTCAGCAATAACAGCAGCAATGCACACAACAAGCCATGTTCTACATGGTCTTATGCACCTGTCAACCCATCAAATAAATAGAAAATGGTGGTGACTCAGGGAAATAAATTGTGTTTTGTAGCTGAAAACTTGCTCTATCTTGTAGTGTTGTTATGCCCTCTGCATCTGTCATAGTTTCTATAGAAATAAGGTCAGATTACTTTTGAAGCATCCTCTGTAGAATCAAATCTTAAGTAAAGTTTGAAGGTTTCCACTTATTTGGCTTGCATTATTGAAACTTTGCCATGATTGCAAACTTAGCAAATTATGTTTAATGCATAGAAAGAGTTTCTTGGCAAATGTAAGATAGCAAAATTAATTTTGTTACTGCTTCTGTTCGAGAACAAATAATACAAGTCAAATAAAAAGGATTTGAATAAAAGGGTAGAGAGTAGTTAATTTGAATCCTGGAGTCATTCACACTTGGAGGGGGAGGTAAAATGGAGTTGTTGATGAAGATTGGATAAAGGAACTTCAAATAGAAAAAGGAAGGAAGTAACATTTTAGCAAAGAGGAGAAAAGAGATGGAAAACATTGCAAAGGAAAGAAGAATGGCAGAGAGGGGATGGACTGTACCAGAGCGCAAGGGGACGGAGCGAGCCAGAGTGTGACATGAGGGAGCAGAGAGAAGGAGGGGATGATGGAGCACGCTAGAGAAGGAGGGGACGGAGCGAGCCAGAGAAGGAGGGGACGGAGCGAGCCAGAGAAGGAGGGGACGGAGCGAGCCAGAGAAGGAGGGGACGGAGCGAGCCAGAGAAGGAGGGGACGGAGCGTGCCAGAGTGCCCAGGGGACGGAGCGTGCCAGAGTGCCCAGGGGACGGAGCGTGCCAGAGTGCCCAGGGGATTTTTTTTTTGCCAGGGTGCCCAGGGGGACGGATCGGCCAGAGTGCCCAGGGGACGGAGAGAGCCAGAGTGCCCAGGGGACGGAGAGAGCCAGAGTGCCCAGGGGACGGAGAGCCAGAGTGCCCAGGGGACGGAGAGAGCCAGAGTGCCCAGGAGACGGAGCGTGCCAGAGTGCCCAGGAGACGGAGCGTGCCAGAGTGCGACATGATGGAGTGCGCCAGAGAGGGAGGGGATGGAGCGCGCCAGAGAGGGAGGGGACGGAGTGTGCCAGATGCAAAGAAGATCCTCAGAAACCCAAATGTGCATCGAAATAGTGAAAGACAACTTCTACAAACTAAAACTATATTAAGATACAGAAAAATATCACTCGAAAAAGAAAGGACTTCTGAACAATTACACAATATCCAATCTGCTATATAGCAGTGAATACGGGACAAGTTTTTCCACATATGAAGAGATCTGAAGCAACAGAGATGTTGTTCTGACAAATGCTGAGAACCAAGGACAGAATATCTGAGCAACGAAGATGTCTTAAGGAAAACAGGAAAAGAAACACACAAACAGAAAGAAATAGCTGAATTTTCTGACATGCAATGAGGAATGAGTGTTTAGTGAATTTAACACTAAATCAGTTTGGGATAATTTTATCTCACAATATGGATATACACAGACAAGAATGTCCATAATAATAATACATTTAACCATAAAATCATGCAACAATTGGTTTTGATAAGCTTAAGTAAAATTCTAAATGGGATTGGTATAAGATTTTTATGCAAATTAGTACTTTAAACATATATATTTACAGTCTCCCAAAGGACATTTAAATTGATATACAATGTTGGTCATTTGCAAAACATTCATTGATGGAGAAGAGTTATTGTGGATGACTAAGTTGGGTGTATTAATTTAGTATAATATATAATTAGTTTTATTTTTTTACTGGGATCAGTGGGTGATATATAATATACCCACCACTGATCCCAGTAAAAAGATAAAACTAAAAAAGTAAAATATATATGTTGGTTTCGTCACAACATTATTGAAGAGGCTTACATTACATATGACAGATTCTATAGCCCAATCTCCCATCGTATTCACTGTATGAGGGTCAAGTAGCTCCGTTGCTGAGAACCGATAGCTCAGACAGCACCACATGAGATTTGATTATAGTGGTGAAGGCATTGTGGAGATCCAACCACTCTTTTTGAAGGGCCGAATACAGAGACATGGTGCAGTAATGCATGTTTCATTAAATAATATAGACAAGTTTTGTCTATTTATTATAAGTAAATTCCTTTCATATTGTCTGATAAGCTTAATAACATTATCATTGAAAGACGAAAGGAAATCCCCATATTGATATATGTTTAAATCCAATCTAAGCATTTGGCTTACATAAGCCATTATTAAAGATGATAATTACTTTTCAATATATCAACCAATACACGGAACAATAATGATAGTCCGTTTTTGTGGTATGAAAAATTTCAAAGCAACAACTAACTTGTGTATATGAGACACGGAAGCAAAAATCATGTTGCAGCTTGTGACATCACACATGACCATGCGAGAGTGAAAACGAGAAGTATTAAGTATGAGAAGGCGTTGGTATAAACCAATGGCTTCTTTTATCAATTATAGGTATTTAAGAACTTGTCTATATTATTTAATGAAACATGCATTAATGAAAAATTGCCTCTCTCTCTCTCTATATATATATATATATATATATATATATATATATATATATATATAATTGAAATTATGTAGCTAAATTTACCAACCTAGTTTAATCTATTTTTTTCATGTCTGCTTATTTTCACTATTTTCTTTCAACATTCATTTTCTTCTTTATTTCTTAACTTTTATTTCTTTCCCATATTCATTGTTTTTAGTGTTTCTCTCTATCCTCCTTTCTTATCTCTCATATATATATATATATATATATATATATATATATATATATATATTTATATATAAAATTTTCGGACATTCAGGCGGTAAATGTTATTTAATACTGTTTATCATAAACAGAGCATTTGCTTAAATACTTGTATCTATAAAATAACAACGTTAAACATAAAAAAAATATGTCTTTAATAAATAAATTGTCGGACCTTGTCCATTTCTTAATATATATATATATATATATTCTTTTTTTACTTTTTCTAGAATCTCATACGTTTCTTTCCTGGTTTTGACTCTCCTCCTTTAAATACTTCTCCCTTTTATCACTTTCTTCTACTCCACTCTAACCTTTGACATCTTCATCCCGGTCTCTTCTCTCTTTGGCAAAACAACAGTAACAAAAACAACAGCTTTATCAATAAAATACTCTGGCTTCATCTTTGGCTCAGACAGAAAAGGCCAAAAGCCAAAACTAAAAATAAAACTGAAGATCCACTGACAAAACAAAAGCAGATCAAGGAAAAATATTTTGATTTTGATTCAACAAAAGGTGCAATCCTTTCAATTGCAATAAACAACAAATTCTTTAGAAAACAAACAATCAATCAATCTTTGAAGTGTTTGGTTTGATAGCTTGAGACTAAAAACAGAGGACAGAAAGTGCAATACTGATATCCAAAGGTACATATGAATAGTAAAAGATGCTTTCCAAAAGCTAAGCAAAGTATTATGAAACAGGAACAGATATCAGTCCTCCTATATGGCAATGAATGCTAGACAATTTCCTCACAGATGAAGAAGAGACTTGAAGCAACAAAAATGATGTTGAAAAGAACATGGACCAAACATGCAAATAATGACAAAGTTTTAAACAAAAGAAAATAGAGACAAAAAGGTTAACATCAGAAAGAGATAGTTGAAATTTCTAGGGCACAGAAGAGGGCTTGGAAAAATTGACACTGACAAGACATATTGAAGGCAAGACAGATAGTGAGAAACAATGCATAACCTACCTAGAGAGCTTATGTAAATCGATGACAGACAAGGTTCAGAAGCAATAACAAAAAGACAAAACTCATTAACATTTACAAAGGACAAGAAATTGTGGAGAGCCATGATTGAAAACATTCTGAAGGGACATGGCACATAGAAGACATCTGATAGTAGTTGGTCTATAGAAAAAAAAAAGAAGTCTACAAAGTGTTATTTAGTCTTTAGTCAAATCCCTAATTGTACACTAGCATAATCTACCAAGTTATGGTTCTGTTTAGTTTTCCTTAAGTGACCAATTCTCTGGCCATATACTAGCACTGTCCCCACTACTTCAATCAGCACTGACTTTACATCTTTCAAGTGTGCACTCTTGAGACTTCATCACTCACACTGATATTCTCAAGAGAACCAGAGCAAAACACATTGTAGTTAGTCAGCAAATGACCAATCAGAAATTCTCATGTCATTTGGCAAAGTGAGGAGGTCATCTTTCAAAGAGACCCTCTTGCTTGGGAAATTGGTCTTGCAGAGAGATGAAACTGAAGAGGTCAATTGTAATTGTAATATTAGATGTTTCCTTATAAGGAAACATTTGGCATTCATTGAACGAGCAGACAGTAATCAATTGAAATTTATAAAACTTTTCTTTAAAAACAGTTTTTCAGGAAAACAGGTTTCTCAAGGTCAGTAATTATTATTGCTCTTTCCCGTATTAATGGAGGTTTCCTTCCTAACTTTTTATTTGAAGTAGTGTGGAATGTTAACATTTCACTATGTCATTAATTTCTATTAGAGTACCATGTGCTATCCATTTTAATTGTTGCTGCTGTTGATAGTCCTTAAGTGTTGTGGTTTTGTAGTGTCAGTTCAATGTTCGAAGAAGGATGGTATTTGCCAAAACCCATAGGTTTCACTTGCCCTAAGCCCTTTTTAACTATTGACCATAGAAAGATTTTATAAAGCTGACAGCTTAGATATTTCTGAATGGGTTTGGCACCATACATGGCATCCATATGAAAGTCTCAATCTGTTGGGGTTATTTATGAACATGACTAGTTTCCAGGTTAATGTTTTGGTTTCGTAGCAATTGGTGGTGTTGGGCGAAACTACCTTGGTATTTACTTTTCTCCAATACTAAATTTGTTATAATGGAGACATATGCTGAGGTATGCCAAGTTTTTAGTATTTACTAATTCCACATCCTGATTTAGGGTTGGTGCCATCAATACTTTCATTCCAATTTTAGATCATAGTTTCTGTTTTGGTAAGGTTTATTTTGAGTCCTATTTCTTGGAACACTTAGTAGCCAGTCAGGTATGTACCATGCATGATATACACTTAGGCGATCATGTATCTTTCGATACATTACTGACGAGGCAGATTTTTTCCCTGCAGTAGGTTACCATTTCTTTCTGCGATATACCAGTTACCATCAAAGGCTATAGAACCCGGTCTGTCCTGCTATTTACCCGTAGCTGAGGGAAAAGAAGAGTATTCATACCTTTCCCAAGGATATTAGCACATAAGTGAATGTAATGAATTTGACTGGAATTTGAACTTGGCTCTCCGATTCCTCAGTCTGAGCCGCTACCTACTACTCCACTATTAGTAGAGTACATTGATTTTCTGTTTAAAGGATTTCTTAAAATGGGCCTTCACTTCTAGTGGGGAATCAGCTACCACCAGTTGAAAAAAAGAACTTGTTGACAGAAAGACATGGTGGTAAAGTCACCTTGGCAATCTACTATTGGTTACTAGATCTTCTCCTGCAGCCAAAATAACTTGCTTGTCCTGCATTGACCTCACCAGTCATTGCTGGATCTTGAACAGATATGAAAAACCCTCCCAAGACTTTCTTTGTAAAGACAAGGCAAGCCCTGATATATTGAAGTGGGCTTGTAATGAAATCTGATTGGACAATCATTATCAATATAAACCAAGAAGATTGTAAAAGAAATAGTGAACGGACGTTGTGTTAACAACCAAATTATTTGCAATAGCCGCAAGCAATAAAGTAATGAAATTTGCAAATATACAGTGACATCATGACAGAATAAACAAGTGTCTATCTTGACACATCATGATTTTGAAGTAAATTTGGCAATAGGAAGGATGACTTATTACAACAACTATAATTATTGCATTAATATTTAATTTGATTTCTTTTTTATGGCTTATCAACCATTTGTGAGTTATTTAAAGATGAAACCTATTTTGGATTATAAGAATAATTATTTTTTGTGAGTGAATGTTGCATTAATAACAATTTTATAAGTATAAGTCTACTTTTTAGTCCATAGTAAGGGGGAGATGGATTGATACCTTTCCCAAGGGTATTTTCATGTAAGTGAATGTAATGAACCTGACTGGAATTCAAACTTAGTTTTTCCAATTTTTCATTC